GCTGGCAGGTTAGAATCACGGACCTTTTGGTTACCAGTCCAAAGCTTATCCTACAACACCACACCAGGACTCCTTCAGTATGGAGTACACTTCAACACAAAACAAAAATCCTCACAACTAGACCAATAAGCAACATCATCATAACTAGAGAAAAAATTGAAAGTGTCAAATATTTCATTTTACTTGGATCCACAATCGATGTCCATGGTGGTGGGTATGTGCCATGGAGTCGGTTCCGACTCATAGTGACCCTGTACAGGGTTTCCGAGGCTGTAAATCTTTACGGGAGCAGAAAGCCTTATCTTTCTCCCGCAGAACAGCTGGTAGTTTCGAACTGATGACCTTGCGGCTCGCAGCCCGATTCGTAACCACTAAGCTACCAGAGCTCCTTAATGTCCATGGAAGCAGCAGTAAAGAAATCAATCTATGCATTACACTGGGCAAATCTGCTGCAAAACATCTTTTAAAAGCAAAGATGTCACTTTGAAGACAAAGGTGCACCTATCCTAAAGCCAAGGTATTTTAAATCATCTCATATACATGTGAAAGGTGGGCAATGAATTAAAAAGGTCAAAGAAAAATCGATGCCTTTGAATTATGGTATTGGTGAAGAATATTGAATATATCATGAACTGGCTGAAGAACAAGCAAATCTGTCTTGGAAAAAGTACAACCAGAATGCTCCTAAGAAGACTTGGTCTCATGTACTTTGGACATATTATCAGAAAGGACCAATCCCTGGAGAAGGACATCATGCTTGGTAAAGAGAGGGTTAGCAAAACAGAGGAAGACCTTCACAAGATGAAACGATACAATGGCTGAAATGATGAGCTCGAACAGCAAAGAATGGCAGTTGGGGCAGATCTGGGCAGTGCTTTGCTTTGTTGTACATATGGTCGCTACGACAACAACAGGTATATGGATACATGTAAGTGGTGTTCGTGGTGATTGTGTGCCTTCAAGTCAGTTCCGATTCAGTGACCCTGAATATGGGTACCCGAGGCTGTAAATGTTTAACTAAGTAGAAAATCTCATCTTTCTCTTCCAAAGCGGCTGATATATTCAAACTGCTGACCTTGAGGTTAGCAGCCCAACCCCATAACCACTACAACACCAGGGTTCCTGATACAGGTGGTGTTAAGTGCATAGCGACCCTGAACAGGGTTTCTCAGGCTGTAAATCTTAACAGGAGCAGAAAGCCTCATCTTTCTCCCACGGAGCTGCTGGTAGTTTCAAACTGCTGACCTTGTGGTTCGCAGCCCAATTCGTAACCACTACGCTACCAGGGCTCCTTATAAGTGGGGCTTATAAAATGTTTTTGTTGTTACAACTACAGGGATGTTTCATTAAAATAAATTTCTGCTGAAACACTCCACAAAAATTTTATAGAGATTTTGGTGTCACCTCCTCTGATTGTGTCACCGGGTGAGGTTCACACCCCCATCCATCCCTGTGGTGACGTCACTGCCTGGTAGTGTGCCTTCAGAGTCCGAGCTGGTTCTAGTGACAGTTCCAGAGAAAGGTCACTGGGTCAAGCACATACAACAAAGAGGAATCTCTGGTATAACGTAAAAACATAGATTTCCGCAGGCTGACCAAGAAAGTTACTTGCAGACCGCCTGCCTACTGGCTGGCACGTCCCCTTCCAGTCGTGCCCAGACAGCTCCAGAGCTGGGAAAGTAGGGGAAAGGTTGTGGAGTAGCCAATTTGGCTCCTCCCTTTCCTGGAAGTTCAGCGTCTGGTAATCAGCAAAGCTGTAAGAGCTCCTGGTTCTCCCCTGTATCGCCCAGGTCTTTGATGAGCACTGTAACTGGGGTCCCAGAGTTCTGTGACCTCCCTGTGTCACCTGACCATCTTTATCCCGTTCCTCCTCACACACACACACACACACACACACACACACACACACCCTCAGGAGAAGCCACCAAAAGCGTTCTCTTCACAGAGTGGCTGTTCCTTTGATCTTCTGAGATCCCTCAAATGTGCTCTCACGTTTCCTTAGTGGGAGGGTGGGAAGTACAGCTTCCCAGCCCCCAAATCTGACTTCCTAGCTCCAGCTTTTTAGTTCAAGCTGAAAGCCTTCTTACAAATCATGATGTGGCCAATGTTTTCATCATGTTAGATGGGGAAACTGAGGCACAGGTGTAGTAAGGAGCAGAGTCTAGGGATAGCTAACCATTTCACAGTTCCTTAAGCAGCATGACAAACTCTCACAGGGAACAGGATTGAACAAGATGCACAAGAACCTCATCATTCCAGAAACATTGATGGAGAATTAAGCACTGGGGCTTGGATTAGAGTGTAGAGGTGGTGTCTGGAATCTTGGTTTCTTAAAGAAGTGAAACAAAGTCAGCCCAGGTTTCTTCAGTTCCTGAAATCGGGAACATATGGGGAATGGGGGGGGGGAGGGTCTGATAAAATTGGTACTTTGTTGAAACTTCTGGTGACTAAGCAAGCCATTGTCGCTGCTGCGGCTTCAACCAAGTCTTGGATCCTTGGAAAAGGTCAAGTCTGGTGAACTTTCCAGAAGGATGAGGCAGTAGCACTCAGGAGCCCTGGTGTGATGCTGTGGGCTAATGCGTCAGACTGCAAAGTCGTTTGAACTACAAGGTCGGTGATTCAAACTCACCAGCTGCTCTTTGGAAACCCTATACAGGGTCGCTATGGGTAGGAATTGACTCAACGGCACTTAACAACAACAGTCCCACTCATGGAACGCTTGTGGCGTTGTGGGTTAAGCATTCGGCTGCTAACCTTAAAGTTGGTATAGTACAACCCATCAACTGTTTAATGGGAGGGGGGCAGGATGAGCCTTTCTGCTTCCTTTATAGTCTCCAGAGCAATTCTACATTGTCCTTTAGGGTTTTTGTTGTTAAGTTCCGACTCATAGCGAGTCTGTATAGGGTTTCTGATGAGTGCTGGTGGGTTTGAACTGCCGGCCTTGTGGTTCGCAGTCTAGTACTGATCCTACAGAGTCCGTCCTATAGCGTTGTTGTTGTTGTCAGGTGCCAACAAGTCGGAACCGACTCATAGCGACCCCATGCACAGCAGAATGAAACAATGTCCGATCCTGGGCCAACCTCACTACCGCGGCCACACTTGAGTCCATCAATGATGCCACCTGGCCAATCCATCTCGTTATAGCGTTACTGAGTTGGAATTGACTCAATGGCAGTGGGAGGTTTTATTTTGGGGGTGAGTGGTGGTGGTAGTGGTTGAGTCCCACTCCAACCCTCACTGACTCAGAACCAACCACAGGGCTTGAGTGTGAGTATACAACTCCACAGCGCGATTCGCAGCCCCTGGGCGGGACCGCGTACGTGCGTCGAGGCGCATGGATGCGGGTTGCACTGCGCGTGCGCGCATCTCGGGGGCGGGTTCTCGTATAAATGGGCGGTGCGCGATCACTTTAGGACTGTGCTGAGTTGCGGGCTGTGTCTTTGTGTTCGGTTCGTGGCGTTGGTGGAGATCCGGTGCTACACGTTGGCCGCTTTCACTTCCGTCTCCTGCACAACCTGCTATTACTGCAAGCCGGCCACTCCGAGCCCTGTCCCCTCGAGGTAAGCGGCCCTATGGGATTTCCCGGCCTGAGATTATGGTCCCTGACTCCCTACCCCTCCGAGCTGCGTGCCCTATAGGCCGCATTCCTTCCCGGCTCGGCCCCTCGCTCCCCCTTGCCGCCCCTCTCGAGGTCCCCAGTCAACCCAGGCCCCATTTTCTCCAGGGAGAACCCTAACTAGGGTTCCGAGTCTGTGGGTCCACATAGCCCACCCTTTCGTGTGTGCTGAGCGTCCCTGCCTTGCCGTCCCCAAGCACCCTTAACATCTTCATGCCTATCTCGCCCCCAGACTAGAAGCTCCAGGAGGACATGGACTATCAATAAGATTTACCCTGCCCTAGAGCCTCCCAAGGTGGCCAACACATTGTAGGCACACGTTGTTGTTGTGAAGTGCCCTCGAGTCAGTTCCAACTCATAGCAACCCTGTATAGGGTTTCCGAGGAGCTTGAACCACCGACCTTGTGATTCATACGGATCTTGCAGTCCCGCGCAGTAACCCACAGCGCCATATATATATGTTTGTGGAATGAGTGAACTCGATCCTCACAGGTTTATTTTGAGTTTCAGAAAGTTTATGGTTAAAGAAATACACAGTGTTTAGGGGACGCAAAGCGTCTATTAATGGTGATGGTTGAACAACATGAGATTATAGAAATGGCAAATGTTCGGTTACCTATATACTTATTGTTATTAAGTGCCATCGAATCAGTCTTACTCACCGACCCTGAACCGGCTGGTGGGTTTGAACCACCGACCTTGTGGTTAGTAGTCCAGTGCTTATCCTACACAGGATTCTACATACTCATACTTCACACAATTAAAGGAATCCTGGTGTGGAGTTGTAGGATAAGCACTGGGCTGCTAATGGCATGGTCGGTGGTTCAAACTCAGCAGCCACTCCTTGGAAATCCTATACAGGTTCGTTGTGAGTCTGAGCTGACTCAGTGGCACTTAACAACAACAGCAACCACAATTTTAAAAAGGAAAGAAGTTTATGGTTAACTCAGATCCGACTGAGTGGTAAGAGAAGTCTAGGCAGCCTGCTTTCTCAAGAGCTAGTTTTCGTGTCCTCCTCTCCAGCAAAAGGGCTCTGTCTAATTGTGGTCCAGGGACTGTGCATTGCTCTTGGCACGAGCAAAGCCTTCTGGAGAAGTAAAACTTTGAAGATTGCTCTTGAATTCATCCAATAAGCCAGGCTGGCTGGGCAACCATGGTTTGTACAGTGTAAGTTTGCTCGGGGACTGCTGTGGAGGCCCAGCTGTGGCTCCCTGGCTCCTTGGCTGGCCAGGCCTTTTCCTCAGCTCCACAGGGAGAGAACATTCAGAGCCAAATGCCTGCAAATCCCCAAAGGCTGTAGCTTAACCTCTCCTCTCTTTCCTTAGGCTCCAAAAGCTGAAGGCAGCTCCAGCAACTCTGCAGAGGACTGAGGATCTTTGCCACCATGAAGCATATGTTGAACCTTTATATCTTGGGTGTGGTGTTGGCCCTGCTTTCCATCTTCATTGGACTGATGGAGTCACTGGGGGTCTTACTGGAGGGCCCATTGTCTGGGAACTCCTGGACCACCAGAGGTCAACTAGCCCACCCAGAGACCCCCAAGGGTCTTCCAGACCATCCATCTCAGTCCAGATTGCAATAAAATAAGTCCTTCTCTGCATGACCCATCACAACCTTTGAACACTGGTGTGAACACATCCCGCAGGTTTCCCAGTTCCTAGGCCAGCCAGCTCAGAGCAGCAGTGTTGTCACAGAACTGACGTGAAGAACTGGTCTTGAAGGGCCTCTCCATCTTGATGCTGCCTGCCCTGGAACGTCTGTTTAGTTCCCAGTTGTGAGCAGTTGCGGGGGCTGTGGACTGAGCTGCTTCTCCCAGGTCTGCTGTATGGTTGGCTGTCCTGGGCAGTGTGGTTCCACCTTCTCTCAGATGCAACTTCAGCTGTTGGGAGATGGTGATGATTCCCCCCATTCCCTAATCATCTTCCAGGAGCTGTCTTTGGACAGGAATGACTTGCTGGTATTTAGCCTCTCTTTCAAGTGACCGCTGAGTCTAACTAATAGTGGAAGGGGTGAGTGGGTCTACTCGGGGCCGGGAATGGGGCAGTCTCATGTTTTACATTTCTGAGTCCTTCCTTCAGTGTATGTGTTTGTATTGGTCTAAAAGGGGCACTGGGGTGACACAAAGGCTGCTCAGGACATGAGCAAGTTGGCCACTGTGTGGCTTAAGCGAGTTTTTCTAATTCAATAAAGTTAAGTATGTTTTCACTCTGTGTCAAGTTGACTTCTGTCCTTAGGAGCTTCCTTTCTGGTTCCTAGTTTTAATTAACATCTTAAAACTTCTAAGCAGGAATGCACTTACAGCACTTTGTTTAAAATACAAAAGGTCAATAATCCTCTGACTATCAGGGCACAGGCAGTTGGGTCTGCTCATATCAGTCAGTGTCTGAGCCGACACCAAGACGGTGCAATCCTCTCTTGGCTGCTCATCTCTCAAGAAAAAGGAAAGGATCATCTCAACCATTCCCCTCATTCCACTCTTGGGAGAAAGAGGACTGACTGCCTTCTCTTCTGCACTCAGAACTGGCCTTTAATTACCCACCAAATTCCAGCTTGATTCTGATTGTTTTCAAGGTCAACTGGTCAAATGTCCACACATCACATGATTATTTCTGCTCTCCCTCAGAGCTAAAGCAGTTTGGCCTTTACTAGAAAATAGACTTTACTTTTTTTCCTTGTATCTGCTGTACTTCATTCCCTACTCCAAGCAAACATATTCACAGAACCTCTGCCAGTAGTAAAACGTTTACACCCTTCTTTCGGCATTTATGTGTGATGATGAGTTGGATTTGCTGGAGGTAAGAATGGAGCATAGTGTCTTCTGCTTCCACAAATATTTCTGTTAAACCAGCTTTGCTTCCAGGGTATATTCTTAAAATGAAGTGCCACAATCCTAGAAGCCAGTGGCGTAGGCATCACTTTTATTAACGCTGTTTACCAGGTGTTTCCAGCTTCCCACCTTCTGGGCACATGGTACAATTTCACTCCTTGCTCCCTTTGTGCTTGGCTGTGGGCTTTTTATCTCTGATTACAGACGGCAATTAGATACTTTGAGTCCTTTTCTAGATGTATTTCATACATCTGATATATTTGCTTATTCTCCTACCTTTGACTCATATTGGGTATGTATTATCGGCTTTCAGTTGGAGAGCTGTACCTTAAATCTCTTCCCCCAAACTATTAAATTGATGAGGTTTACTGGATGCCATGATATTAGAGTCCTGGTGTGGCGCCTTAAGATAAACACTTGACTGCAAGGTCGGTGGTTCAAACTTACCAGCTGCTCCTTGGAAACCTTATACAGGATGGCTATGAATCAGAACCGACTTGATGGTACTTAAAACAGCAACATGATATTAAAGAGATCTTTATTCCAGCACCATCCAGAGATTGCAACAGCAGATGTGATGACCATACCATTGTTTTAATCCTTCTTTTGTGTGGAGTGGCCATCTGCCCTGATTTGCCTGAAATAAGAATTCCCTGGGACATAATACTAAGTGCAAAAACTGGAACATTCTCATGCAAACCAGGACAATTGATCACCCTACCTACAAGAAGTCCTGGTGTGTTGTAGGATAAACTCAGGAACACAAGGTCGGTTTAAACCATAAGGTCAATAGTTCAAACTCACCAGCAGCTTCTTGGAATTCCTATACTGGGATGTTGTGAGTCAGAACAACTGACACACTTAACAGCAACAAGCCTACAAGGTTGAGCTTGAATTGGCTTTTGTTACTTCAGACATTTCTCAAACATTTATTAGTAGTTATGGGTGGGAAGCCTTTGTTTCTGTCAACCTTGTGAGCGCCTTGATTTCTGTAGTCTCAAGATAGGTTTACTTGCAAGCTGGTTTGTTCTCTTCTGAGCTCATCTCTAATTGTGCTTTGTCAGTGACAACCAACAATGACCTATTTGTGTTGCTAAAATGCTGTTCTTTGATTCTCAGCGCCAAGCTTATTAGAAACAAGTATCTCCTGAGTTATTGCAGGTAACAGTTTGACCACACATTTTGCTACTGCATAAAATGACTTGTGTCAGTTTTAGGTTAGAAGTTTGAAATGATAGTGCAAGAACCTCCAATATTCTTTCTTCCTTTGCCACAGTTGCCCAGCATGGAACTCTCCCGTGAATATATGTCCTAGAGTGAGGATGCCATGGAGCAGACCCATCATGCACATATAGCGTAAATGAAAACTAGCACTTCGATGTGTTAGGTTGCTAAGGTTTAGAGGCTTTTGTTACTGCAGTATAACAGCCTATTTTGATGACTACATTGCACACAGCCCCTACTGGCTACTAGGCAGGGACTGAAGTAACACTATTACTTAGACAAGTTACATGAATGGGGAAATCATGTAAACAAAGTGTCATGGTAGATAACAAACCTACCCAGTTACTACTGAGTCAATTCTGACTATGGAAACCCATGTGTGTCAGAGAACTGCACTCCATAGATTTTTCAAGCCCATGACGTTTTGGAAACAGATTGTCAGACCTTTCTTCTGCAGCACCTCTGAATGGGTTTGTGCCATCTCTAATTAGTAGGCGAGCACCTAACCATTTGCACAACTCAGGAACTCTGTGTATACAGTTCTTTGTAGGCAGGAGGGCAATGCTAAGAAAAATTTCTTGGAGTATCAGAAAAAAATTTTTTTAAATTAATTTTATTCTAAGTGAACATATCTTACTAGAGTTTGTACGTATTGCTTTTCCCAACACCCAAATCAACACATGGTGCTGTAGGATAAGCACTGGACTGCCAATCAAAAGATCGATGGTTCAAACCCACCAGCCGCTCCTTGGAAACCCTATACAGGATTGCTATGAGTTGGAACCAACCGGACAGCACATAATAGCAGCAAATCTCTGACCAGTGAATTACTCTTCCTCTCATGCCTAGTAATGATCAAAGAGTATTTCTTTTAATATGAGAAAATTTCTTGACTTTTTATGATACTTGTTGTTGTTGTTGTTGTGTGCCACAGAGTCAGTTCCGACTCATATCAACCCTGTATAGGGTTTCCAAGGCTATAAATCTTTACAGGAGCAGAAAACCTCATCTTTTTCCTGAGGAATAGCTGGTAGTTTCGAACTGCTGACCTTGCGGTTTGCAGCCCAATTCGTAACCACTACTCTACCAGAGCTCTTTTACAATAGTGATCTCATACAATATTTGTCCTTTTGTGATTGATTAATTTCACTCAGCATAACATCCTCCAGGTTCATCCATGTTTGGAGGTGTTTTGCAGATTCTTTGTTATTCTTCCACGTTGTGTAATATTCCATTGGATGTATGTACCAGTTTGTTTATCCATTCTTCCGTTGATGGACATTTAGACTGTCTCCGTCTTTTAACTATTGTGAAAGTGTTTTGATGAACATGGATGTGCATGTATCTATCACGTCATAATTCTTAGGTCCTGAGGATATATACCAAGTAGAGGGCTTGCTGGGTCATACAGTCTTTCTATTCCCAACTTTTTGAGGAAGTGTCATGTAATTTTCCACAGTGGTTGCACCATTTTATAATCAATCCCACCAGCAATGTAGAAGGGTCCTAGTTTCTCCATACCCTCGCCAGCATTTGTTGTTTTCTGTTTTTGTTTTTGTTTTTTAACTTTTATGTAATGCTGGGGTTATATGATTTCTCACTGTTGTTTTGATTTGCGTCTCTTCTGGCATGGTTCTGTGGGCTAATGCTCTGGACTGTAGAGTTGGTTTGAATTGTAAAGGCCAGCAGTTCAAGCTCACCAGCTGCACCTCGGAAACCCTATGCAGAGTCACTGTGGGTTGGAGCGGACTTGATGGCACTTTAACAACAGCAACAACAATGGCTAATAATCACAAACATGTCTTCATATGTCTCTTGGCTGCCTGAATGAACACAGTCAGAAAACTGCAAGGCAATTTTGTTGTTGGTTGTTGGTAAGTACCGTGGTTCTGACTCATAGTGACCCTGCACAGGGTTTCTGACGCTGTAAATCTTTACAGGAGCAGAATGTCTCATCTTTTTCCCGTGGAACTGCTGGTAGTTTCGAACTGCTGACCTTGAGGTTGGCAGCCCAACTTGTAACCACTACGCTACCGGAACTCATTGCAAGGCAGTTTTAAAGCCCTCATTAATTTTTTGGTTTTGGAGTCCTGGTGTGGCACTGTTGGATTAGCACTGGACTGCTAACCACAAGGTTGGCGGTTCAAACACACCAGCCGTTCTTGGAAATCCTGTCAGGGTCAGGGTGCTATACCTCAGAATTGACTCGTGGAAATGAACAATTTTTAGCTTGAGGGCTGAACTCTGGTGCCATCTAGTGGATCTTTCCAAGGAAGAGGGACATGCTGTGTAATGATTTGAAGGACTGGGAGGATCTCAAACATCATCTAACTTGTTGTTGTTGTAAAGTGTCGTCGAGTTGGTTCCGACTCATAGCGACCCTGTATAGGGTTTCCGAGGAACAGCTGGTGAGCTTGAACCACGGACCTTGCAGTTCAAACAGCTTTGCTGTCTGGCGCATTAACCCACAGCGCCACACCAGGACTCCTAGTTTAGCACTGTCCAATAGAAATACAATGTATCTACAACACTTGAGATTTTCTAGTGACCACATTAAATAAGTAAGAAGAAAAAGAAGGAAGTTTTCATCTATTTCATTTAGCTCAATATATTGAAAATAATATTTCAACGGATGCAGCTGCTGCTGTGTGCAGCCGAGTTGGTTCGACTCATAGGGTTTCTGAAGCCATAAATCTTTGCAGAAGCAGAAAACCTCATCTTTCTCCTGGTGGGTTAGAACTGCTGTAGCCCATTATGTTACCAGGACTCCTTACTAACCAACATTAAAATTGTTAAGGATATATTTTATATTTTTGGCCCTAAATCTTTGATATCTGGTGTGCATTTTGCTCTTATTACACATCT